CTAATTAATAGTGATGCAGATGATTAGGAGTCACATTCGTGTTTAATTTAATTGGAATGTTAATTAGATAGCGAAGCTCAGCACTACATTCTTTTCAATGTAACATATATTTTTAATTTTTTTCTCATTAACCATTTCTACTATTCATTTTGAATAAAATGTTCTTATATATTATTAATTTTCAGAAATTATGATTTCCTAGAATATTTCCTATAGAAAATATATATTTTTTAATATTAATTTTTAATAAAACAAAAAAATTGTATATGAAGTTATCTTTTTTTTTTTAACTTTTTTATGTCTTTTGTCTGTGTTAGATTTTTTTTTTTAAATTTAAATATATATGAAGACATATATATGAATTTGAAATAAAATATTGATAATATAATATATGAGGAATAGTAACTCGTTCATGATACGAGTGAATAGAAAGTTGTTCTTCCAGTCTGTTACCTACGAATGATAAATCGCATATGTTTTGGCATAAATGATTGATCTATTTTTTAAATATATTTTAAATATACTTATAAAACTTAATAATAAATAATTTTTAAAATTTTTTCAAAACTATAAAAACATATAGAGACTAAAATTTCAAATACATAATTATATAATAATTATAAATTATAAATTGTAAATTATAATTATAAATTAATATTCAACATTATAAATATAAAATTATTATTTTATTCTATAAAATTTCAAAATATAATATAAAAGTCATTTTTCATGTTCATTTTCTAACAAAAATTGTTGGAATATTTATCTTAGATTTAATTGTGTATTAAATTTTTATTATTGTAAAGAAAAACATTATTAAATATAAATTACAAATAAAAATCTAAAAATTGCTATATTAGAATAATTTTGATTTAATTGAATCGAATATAATTCTTAAATTTACCATTTTAAATTATAGAGGGCATTGTAAAACGTCTGATTTTTTAGACGATCGGTATTTCAGAACATGGGACACGAAGTTCCCCACAGTATGATAGGTCTGTTCTATAGCTTGTTTGTGGTAGAAGTTTGCATTTTGTAGAATGGAAAAACCGTTATATCCAGTTTTTGTGAAATATTCAGTTATTGAAATTCAAGAATTTAGTAATTATACAATATTATTCAATCGAAATGGAAGAGGATCGAGAGCAGCAGCATCCAAATAACATTTTTCTATTTCAACTTGGAGTTTCAAATAGCTTTAAATGCATTGCAGAATCAGTGAGGTAATTAATATTATTTCAATATTTAAATTAAAAACATCATTTTTATTGTTTTGTTGCGCAAACGAAAAAAATATTTATCATAATTAAAATAAAATATATTATTTTTATATTATATGTTATTAGGAAATAATGTTTAGAGGTTATGTAAGCTGTCAGCTTGGCGTTCCCGGTTCTTTTAGATATATATATATATATATATATATGCGCATGCGCAATTAATTAATATTTAAATCCAAATTATAAGTTTTTAATTATAAATATATTTAAAAAATGTATAGATAATTATGAAATAAGAAGACTTTCACTGATTTTTATAATTTTTGAAAATGTTGTTTATAAAATCAATATTTTAAATAATTTTTTTTTTTTATTATCGCCGCTCAGTTTTTTTTTAAAAAATTGCTACATAGAATTTCTAAGAATGTATACATATCGCAGTTGCATATGCATAAGTATACGATTTCCATTTATTTTCTGTTAATATAAACACAGCAACAGCAAACAACTAAGATGTATAACAAGTGAATTAATAAAAAATTTTAAACTAACTTTTTTATGAATTATGATGAATTAAAATGTCTCGAATCCAATATCGAGCTTAAGCATCGTTCGTATTTTACAGAATACAAAAATAAAATAATTTTTGAGCCATCGAAATTACAACGATAAATGATACTACTGAACTAAAAATGATATTCATTATAATTTTAATCATTGTAATTTCCCAAAAGAATGAATTTTATATTTTATTTTTGCATTTCGCAGATCTGAAGAATGTTCAAATTTGGCATTGGATTTGAGATATTAAATTCATCATAATCTATAAGAAAATAACTTTTTGACCGGTTTTTCTGTTATATATTTTGACATTTTGACGCCGCTTACTGCAATGTACTTATAAAAACAATAAATAAGTAGTTGTATATTTATGCATGTACAACTATAAAATATATATGTATAAAAAAAATTCCATGAAATAATAGCAATCTCTTTTTTGCAAGTATTTCGAAAATTAAGGCTGATAATATATAAAGGAAAAAGTTGTTTAAAATTTTATTCTGCAACATTCTAAAAATTATTTGTTGAGGACCTTGTTATTCCGAATAATTACCAATATGTTTATAATATTTTTCCAATATTAATATTGAAATATAAATTATATTTTAAAAAATAAAATTGTAAAATATACAGTAATCGAAAATTTAAAATAAATGTATGTGGAAGTGATTTATTGTACGAAAATCAAGTTTGGTTATATTATCGTTGAATTTCAGGTTATGTTTTCGCGTATCTTTGCACGATAACAGTACTAGCAATGTATATAAGTATGTCAAGTACGAGCCGCGGTTAAGAATGCTGTTTTAATTAAGAAAGCCAAAGAGAATGCATAATCAGTGAGAACCAAGTAAGATGTAGTAATATATTTTAGTGAGCATGATACTTCGTTTATCGGCGGTAAAAAGAGGAGGAAGAGATGATGAAAGAGAAGGAGGGATCACCAATGAGCCAAACGAACGATGGTGTTACTCGATGTCATTGGCCTCTCTGGAAGTCATATGTTAATTTGTCGGTGTTCACGTGGCTAAACAATTGTCCATTGCTATTTGGTAGTTCTGTGAGCACAAGTCGATTTTCAAAATTGGTTCCCTTCGATTCTGGCTTCCCAGAATTTGCCGCTCTTTGAAACCCAACACACTAGTTGACCTTCGAAGAATTCCACGAACTGTTCGAGGAAACAAAGGGTCCCTGGTGTGGTCACCATCGTTCGGCTCCATCATTCGTATAGTACGTGTCGTGGGGATCGTACGGGTGCTTCTGTTCGTCCGTTATTCTCACGTTAAAATAGCTTAGTGATGAACGTGTTTTACGACTGAAGTATTCATTATTTTCATTATTTACATACATTACTTTCTTTTTTTTGATTCTATAATTTTCTATTCTGATGTGAAGATTTATGGTAAGATTTTTTTCATAATGATCTCATAAAAGTGATCAAATTAAAATTTGAAATGAAGAAATGAAGAAACATATCACGAAGCGTATTCAATTAGGTCAGGACTAATGCAAATATGTAGTGTCGACATCAAATTGCACCCGTCCCGGCCTGATTGAGTGCGCATAAATCAACGGAAGAAGAATCAAAGGTGTGGTCTTTATGTTCGTAATTTCCTGCATTTCTCACAAAATATGTAATATTGTATGTTTAAGTGTATCGTATATAAATCTATAAAATTGTATATAAAAAATATTACAAGTTTCTATGTAAATTTTCTTTATAAAAATATTTAATTTTTTTTAAAGTTAAATTGTATTAAATGAATTAAATAATCTAATCTTTTATATTTTTATAATTAAAAGCAGTAGATTTTATGTTTATAATCATTTACGGAAAAATTTACGGAAATTGTGTAATGCGATTACGAATTGCTATTGTATGCTTGTAATACTACGAAACTGGATTGGCTTGTCCGAATACTGGTTCTTCCCCCATTCAATCGCGCGAGCCTTTATGGACGGTAAACAAAGAAAAATTTGATCTCGGCAATAGTAGAGCCACGTCATAATGATTATTAAATGCACAATTTATTTAGTATTATTTCATTTTATTTAAAAAATAATATTATTATTTTCTTGTATTGTTTTATATATACACAATAATCTATACACATTTTTGTATCAATTAATAATTATATGTACCAATAAAATTAATAAATAAAATATAAACAAGATGTATTATTCTATGCATTATATATTTCTATATATGATATTTTTAAAATTAATTAAAATTAATTAAAATTTTAAATTAATGAAAATTAATTAAAATTAACACTAAGTAACTTTAAGTAGATTAATTAATATTCATAAAAAGTACAATTAATTTGTTGTAAAATTTAAAATTAATATTTTATTTGAATGAATATTTAAAAACTATTCAAAAATATTTCAGTGAAGATGCTTTTATAAAGATTCTAACAATTTTAAAATCAAAACGGAATATTGGTCAAAAATTATATAAAGCGATGTGCAAGGAACTTTTTGATAATATGAACGACGATTTGGAGGATATATTGAATGAAGGAAGTTTAAAGAATGGATTAGAAAGAATTGCAAAGTTATCGGACGAAGATGCTTCTATGGTCGAAGATGCTTGGTAAGTCACAATCGATATCTAATTATTAATTTATAATTGATAAATAATTTTATAATTGATAATAATTTTATATATATATATGTATATATTATTTATATTTCATGTTTATTTCAGGAGACCACCTGGCAATGTATCTTCGCATTTACGTTCATTGGATGCACAGAAGATTAAAGAAGAAAGCGAGTTATTGGAAAAGCGTGTAAATGAGATGGAAGAAGAAAATAAAATTTTAATGGAAAAAATTGCAGAAAAGAGATCAAATATTGTGACTATGAATGATACCATAACAGAATCTATAAATAAAACTCAAATTGCTATAAATTCATTAGAAGAAAGAATGGAAGTATTGCAAAAGTGTCTAATATTATTAGATAATGAATAAATGATAGAATTGAAAAAATTAAATAGATAAAGAATATTGTAAAAAATAGGTAAATATTGTTAAAACTGTAAATAGAAGAAATCTTATTTTATAATTTTGTGAATTATATAATATTAAGTACATAAATACATATATTAAATATTATATAGTTTATTAGTTTATTAAATTATTAGTTTATTAATATTAAATTATATAGTTTATTAGTTTATATTTTATAATTAGAATTTTTTATGTTAGTAAATCTGGAATCCATTAAAATCATATTTACTCTTCTTCTTAAATCTGGTGTAATATATACATTTTCTGTAATTCTTTTTAATTTTCGTATTAATGCAATATTTTTCTTCTAGAAATAAAAATATAAAAATTAGTTTGATTATATTGATTATATTGATGTGTATATATTATATAATGAAATGTACCTCTTGAATTATAATCATATTTTTGATTTCTATCAATTTTTTATTATTTTCATCTGTTGTTTTCTTTAATTCATCTAATTTTTTTCTTAAGTTATCTCTTTGCATTGTTAATGAATTAATTCTTTGTTGAATAATGTCATTATCAGAATTAACTTTCTCGATACATTTTACATAGTTACAATGAATTTGTTTTAACTCTTCATCTAAATTATTGTAATTTCTTTCTACATTATTTAATACATATATTCCTTTATCTTTCAATTGATTGACATTATGTATTTCTACCTCTGTATATTCATATTCTTTTTGACATTCGAGTAATTTTGATTTAATATCATTTATTTCTTTATTCATTTGATGTAATTCATCAGAATTCGAGTTTGCTTGAATCTTATCATCATATTGTACTTCCATTTCTATCATATTATTTATAATAATCATAATAATATTACATTAAAAAATATAAAATCATAAATTATAAAAAATAAAAAATGAAATATAAATTTTATATTACCAGATAATGATTGATCAAGATTATGAATATTACAATTCATTTTTTTTGACATTACAGTTATCAACTTATAATTCGAATGAATTTACAATATGGCTGCGTAGCGCCAAAGCATTCCCGCGTAAATCGAAACCATATCCTGATTGGAGGAGACGGACCAATGGAAGATGTCCTTTTCGTCAATAATTTGGCGAAATGCTCGACAGATGGCGAGAGCATTAGCTCAGTCCCTGCTACGCACCCGCTGTTCGCCATTGTATCGTGATTGCTGTTAAGTTTCGTGTTTGTGAGTGAGAATTCATCCGGTTTATATCAAGTTCTGGAGTTCTTTTACGCATCGGGTAAGTCGAAATTCTTATTATGCTTTAATACTTTTTCGTTAAGATTTCTAAATTCTATATAATTTACGTATAATTACGATAGTAAAGTGTGTTTCGTTCCGAAAGGACGACGTATACATTTTTTTGGGGGTTAGTTTCTGACCCTCGCGCGTCAGCCCTCTTCCGTACGCGTGGTCAAGCCGTAAATGATAGTTCGAACCATTTGTGACTCTAAATTTTATAAAATATTCGAGAATAAAATTTATAAAGTTTTTGGAATGTTAATAAAGTTGTTGAGGTTATATGTCGAGTATAATAACGAACTCGATGTTTTTTCCAGTAGTGATTCTACGCCATGCGTTTTTAGACGCTTTGAATCGACAGTTAAGTCAATAATTTCGGCCATGCGACCACGCATAATATGTCTGTAGAAATTTACGTATTTTGGAATAACATGAACGTGCGAGCATATCGTATTTATGTACCGTTTTCATTTGATCAATTTCTTCATCATTCACTATCATATAATGACTAATTAATTGGATAAAACTGAACAATGAACATTATCTTACTTGATAAGAGTAGTAAGTTAATGAATTGTGCTTACTGTTTTATGCCATACAATATCCTATATTACTTATAATGCGTGAGCGATTACATGCATTTTCTTTTCAGAATAATATTATCTATATGCGATTGTTTGTCACGTAATTTGAATCCGGAAGAATAACTTCGTATTATTCCTTCAACGAATCTTTGTTATCTAACTGGTTATTCAATGCAGGGCGTAGCGTCGTATAAAAAAGTATTCCATAGCCAATGACACAATAGTTTTTTTTCGTATCACGTGTTTGCATAATTTTTTGTACGATATTTTTTGCGTTCATCATTAAGTAATTCCTAAATTGTGATTATTGTCTTAAGAATGCTTTTATGTATTGATAATTTTGATTCAAAGCTTAGATGCACGATTAATTTATTGCGCGAAACTGTAGTGGAATTAGTTTTACACTGTTTTTTACAACGAAACATACTCCATCTGTGAATCGGAAACGATGTTATCCGATGGGAGTTGGGATTAACGTTTTTGCACATGACAAATGTAGTCCTCTTATGTTGTAATGATTCGATTAACGTTTCGTTTCGATTGAGAATCTGTTCGATGGAAATTATTGAATCGATATTGAATTACGCGTGTGTACGAACTTTTATCTTAGAAATATTTACACGGCAATGTATTGCTTAACTCTAAAAGTAGATGGCGCCATATTAAATTAAAATTAACAGAAAGAAAAAAATTATTCTGCATATTTAATAATTTTTTTTAGAAATTTCATTTTTTACATTCTCATTATATAAATAGTTTATTTCATAATTTTATTATCGATAAGAATACAAATTATTAAATTAATTACAAAAATCGATCGTTTACGTTACAATATTCATGTTGAGTAATTATTACAAATTTCACGTTGTCAAATTAGAATTTTTATTTATTGTTTTATCAATTCAATTAATATAATCATTTTCATTTAAGGTATTGATTATTTTAATAATAATAATTTAATATATCTAGCTAATTTTTAATTGTAAATGATTTAAATTAACTTATTTTATACAAATATTTAATAATTTTACACTTAATAATAAAAATTTGACGAATAACTTCATCGATTTTTGTATATCTTTATATTCGCTTCATCTGAATTGAACTTTTTCGGTTAATAACAATCGTTGAAATAATTATCAAGTATATAATCGACATATTTAATTTCCTTAATGCTGCTAGCTCGTTATCGAATAATCCCACGTGTATTAACGATTTCCTTGTCTTTAGCTAGCGTATCTTCTGATCATTCCACCATGAACTTCGACTCTAATTATTTCCTCGTAACGCTAACTGCTTCTGACAATGTTTGCTAGACTCTGCAATTAATTCATCGATTATATTGTTAAATATTCGATCATACTATTCTAATCGTGATTCATGCACATACATGTGTATCTTTCAATTAGTAAATTCCTTTGTGATTTTTTTGGTTAGAAAATCCTCATGAATGAACCAAACATTCTATCGTTTACATTTTCGTAAAAGAAGCTTTTAATTTACATGTATAATAGTATGTATAAGTTCGTATAAATCCTAACCAAAATTTTATTACGCTACATTATCCTTTAATAAATTTGCCCATATTACCATATTTTAAAGTAGTACCAGGATTTTTGTTACTCTTCAATCTTGATGATCTATCCTTAAAATCTTTATCAATTCCTCCATCGATAAGCGTCCTTATTACGTTCTGCCGATCCACTTTTTCTTTCATTCTTTTAAGCCATCATCTTAACTTTTTTCTTTCTTTCTCTTTCTTGTCTTCTTATTCCTCATTTGGGATGCACTTTTTTCTAACCACGAATGATAACTATACAGTACGATCATTCTTATATTTTTTATTCTTATGTTTATATATATAATATATTTATAATTTAAGATTCTTTCTTTAATTATTAATATTTTAATAGATTACATTGTTTTTATTCTCTTTGCCTCATTTGACTCTTATCCCTTCTCTCTCATATATAAATCCTGAGTCGTCGATAAGGCAGTCGATAAAGATATCGACGGGTCTCGCAATAATGATATCGCATGGATATCATTCATAATCGTGGAATCGAATATGATATAGAGTGCTCTACGGAAAAGTAACAGCGAGGAACGGTTCCAAGAGAAATTTAATCTTGCCGATTGGTTGTTGGTACTATAACTAGTTTGGGCTAGGTCAAGTCGAGTTAGGTTGCGCTCAGGTAGGGGCATTGTAGCTACGGTAGGGGTAGTGGACGGGGTTCGGTCGGTGAATTTCTGCCGGTGGGGTTGAACACAATGGCACAACAAACCGTTTCCCTGGCAACTGTTCGTTCGGGGTTGCCATCACAAAACTTTCCAACTTGTGACTGCAAACATTAATGCTGGCACACGCGTTATCAAGAGAGAAAAACGACGAGGCGCGGAGGTGGCCGCGTGAGTTCACACGCACGCCCATAGTCACGCGAGCGCGCGTGCTCACGACACGCACCGGCGTGTGTCCCCGCGCGAAACAATGGGCCATCGGGGAGGAGGATGCCCGCGGACCACCCCTCCTTCCACGTTTCATTATTTTCGCTGGCTCGCGCCCTTTTTACTTTTTAACGCGCGCTTATTTTGCTAGCCCGTATGGTGTAATCGCGGCGTAAATTGCCTTACGCACCGCGCATTGTGTAGGGGATATTGTTTCTGAGAGATTACCAACTTGTGGATCCTCTATCCCCTAAAAGGGTCATTGCGATTATTTTTAGTTAGGAATTATTTTTATCGAAAATTTCGTTGCAAGAATTTTTATCGCTCACAGCGTTAATTAATTTAACGCTGCATAATTTTCTATCGACTAGGAATGTTAATGATAATTTTTATACAAATACAAAACATTTTTGTAAGATAATTTGACTATTGCAAAAGAAGAAGTCGTCGTACAATTATGCGTGATTAATTGAATTTATTTTTGTAGGAAGATTTTTATATGAGAATTTTAATAATTATTAATTATTTATTAGTTATAATAAATTTTCAAAAATTTTCAGAAAGCGGTTAAATATATATATATAAAATGTAAAATGCAGGAATTTGTGGAAACAGGAAATTGTTCAATTTTATCATTTTTTTTTGCTAAAAGTTTTCACAAAAAATTTGCATTTTTTTCTCCCATCTTGTTTTTTATATTCTCATTATTGACCTCGTACAACATTACGTAACATCGCGTTAATGTAATTACAGGCAAATTAGTTATGCCTTTTATCCATTACAATTAATTGTGCAAATATTTTTGCGTCTTTTCGTCCGTATAATAGATTGAAATACCTGCAAATTTTAATTATACATGAACGCCAATACGGTGCAATTTAATTTATCGATGGAACTCGTGCTCGGTCCCAATGTAAATTTACGAGGATTCACGCACGAGAAAAATAGGGCCTCCCGTTTTCGATCAATTTACCTCGGTACCGCGGATCCATAAAGAAAACCTCATCGTAATTGAACGCACGAATCGAAACGATTTCCAAATAATCGTATGTATGAATACGGATCATCGACGCTCTTTCGCGAATTAATTATTTCGATTAATCCGTTTCTACGAAAGCGCGAACTATTTTCGATCTCGATATACTTTCCAGTTTTTCTCTCGTTCTCGTCGTACATTTTCACAACGCGCGTCATTTATTTTTAATTACGAAATTTTCACGTCGGTGAAAATCGAGATCACAAACGACGTAACGATTCGACGGGAAATGCATTGTCGAATTAAACTTATACATTGAACGATATAAGTATAAGCTTATGTGTTAAATTCGTGTAATAATCTTCGCATGTGCGTGTGTGTATCTCTCTCTCTTCCCCTCCCCTCCATAGAATTTTTTGGGATTTAAGATTTATTTCGACGTAGGTAACGATGCTCCAGGGTGAAATGAAATAAATTCTCTCCCTCCCTCTCCCTCTTTCTCTTTTGTTTCTGTTCGTTACATTGGACAATTTATATCTTTGTTTGCCTCTTTTTTTTCGTGGCCACATTTAAATGAAATATTTCAATTTGCCCTTGGCTCTCTGTTCGCGCACACGTCCCATGGTATGCTTCATCCCGTTTGATTAATGCCACTTCGATGTCGCTATACTTTTCCGCTTGTTACAAGGAGATTC